ATGGCAGTATGCCAAAGGAGAGGAAAAAATATCACTGTCTGGGCTTTCTTCATGACTTTTTCAGGGTAAATTTGTACATTCACAAAGATACATTTGTTTTCTGTGTTGCTAGTGCCTCCTAGTGGCTATTCTTTTATTTGTTAAGTACCAAGATTGTCTTTCGCTTTTCAGACCAATGCAGCTTTCCCGGTACACAGTTCTATCCTGGATCAACATATAGGGCTGGTCTACACTATGCGGGGGGATCGATCTAAGTTACACAATTTCAGCTACGTAAATAACGTAGCTGAAGTCGACGTACTTAGATCTACTTACTGCGGTGTCTTCACTGTGGTGTGTCGACAGGAGACGCTCTCTCGTTGATTCCTCTTGCACTTCTCGTTACGCTAGAGCAATCGGCGGTCAATTTATCGCATCTATAACAGACACAATAAATCGACCCCCGCTGGATTGATCGCTACTCATCAATCCGGCCTGTAGTGTAGACAAGCCCATAGTGATGCTGAATCCATTGGTATTAATTGAAGGGAAAATTTTCTGCTTGATTCAGTGGGCTAAATGGAGTTCTCTTTTACACCATGTAAGTAGAAAATAATTCAATTTGCTTGAATAGCGTTAGTCTGGATTTTATTACATCAGTGTAACTGAGAGCAGAACATGGCCCAGCCCAATATTCCAGGTCTGCTAAGGCAAGCTTAGAAAGAACTAAAGCAGCCAACTTTTACCCTTCTCATTCATGTGTGCGCGATATTAAGACCCCAGACTGGTGCTTTTGGATGGATACTAATGTGAAATGATTGTCTTGGGGTCCAATCCTGTGAGGTGCTGAGGACCCTCAACTTCCATTGCTGTCAAGGAGAGTAGAATTAGGCCAGTGTTTAGTGCTTTTGGGCCCTTTTCTTTGTTGTGTGTCGCTTCCGAAAACTCTGCTCTCGGAATTCCGTGAGGTTCCGGGGGTGTCACTAAGAACAGAATTTGTCTCGGTGGCTCTACTTTAGGCAGCACAGATAGAAAGCTTTTATTAACCAAATATCTAAATAGGGAGCTTGCGATATCCCCTTTCAAAATTGTCATTGGAACCTCCTCCCTCTCCCACTTTAAAGACCCTGGTGTGGTTTACAGACTTTTAAAATCAATACACAGAAGTAAGGCACAGTTAAAAGAACGAGTGGGTTACCTTTAAGAATTGGAAGTGCGTCTCTTATGGAATTTGTAAGCACACTTTTGTTTTAACTCTGCCTGCTTATCACGGCTGCCTGTTCAGATGTGTGAGATCTTTTCTCCTTTCCTTTCTGTTTGCAGTCAAATGCTGCTTTCCCACCTGGATTATAGGAGCCGCAAACTTACGTAAGTCTTTATAACATTATTTTGTGGTTGGCGTCACTGGGGAGGTGGGTACTTTTTAAATCTGAAATGCTGAGAGATCAGGTGAAAAAGAATTCCGGCCGAGAATGTGATTTTAGAGAGCCGAGAGACTGTCAGGAGGAGTGACTTCTCTGAATTGTCACATTGCCCACTGGGTTATCCAACAGTGGAAAGGTTAGTGTACAGAACAGCTTTCTTATGGGAAAGGTTCCATACACCCGCGCTGGTGAGCCTTCATGCTTTCATTGCTACCTGGCATTCCAGTGGGGGTGGGAGGGATTGAGTTAAATAAAACTAAAGGCGAACATTAAAAGTAGTAGTAATGATCTCAGTGTGGTTTGGTGGGTCTCAGTCTAGTTCTCAGGAGTCAGGTCACAAAAACTGGTGCAGATTGATGGTCTCGTTAGAGAAGAGGAAGCCAATGACTGAATGGGCCATGGCAGGGTGGATAAAAATCAATGCTTTTTTTTAAAAAAATAAAAAAAATCAGATTTTTAAAATTTAAATTGGATTATTTTGATAAAATGCTTTTTGAGCCATTACTCCTCCCAATCCCCATTCTGGGCGCAGGCTGAGTCACTGCTGAAAGTGACCAAGGACCAGATTTCCAAAGATGTGCCGGAGCCAAGCGCCACAGAGGGGCACCTAGTGGGATTTTCAAAAGCAACCGGACTCCTTGAATGGCCCCTTAGAATATGTGCTAACGACTTATGCTAAACCAGTGGTTCTCAACCAGGGGTACGTGTGTCCCTGGGGGTACTCAGAGATCTTCCCAGGGGGTCCATCAACTCATCTAGATATTTGCCTAGTTTTGCAACAGGCTACATAAAAAGCACTGCCAAAGTCAGTACAAACTAACATTTCATAGACAATGATTTGTTTCTACTGCTCTATATACTATACACTGAAATGTAAGTACAATGTTTATATTCCAATTGATTTATTTTATAATGTTATGATAAAAATAAGAAAAGCAGCAATTTTTCAGGAATAGTGTGCTGCGACACTTGCATTTTTATGTCTGATTCTGTAAGCTTTTAAGTGAGGTGAAACTTGGGGGTACACAAGACACATCAGACTCTAGAAAGGGGTACAGTAGCCTGGAAAGGTTGAGAGCCGCTGTGCTAAACTCTCTGTTCACCCCTGTATTTAGCTGTGACACTCCGAGGACCTTTCCCAGACCTACAGCTCTGTATAGCTCGAAAGCTTGTCTCTCACCAACAGACATTCATTCAGTAAGAGATATCACTTCATCCACTTTGTCTCTCCAGGCGCCAAACTCGTAAATGTTTTTGAAAATCCATTAGGCCCCTATCTGTATCTTTAGGCACCTAAATACACTGAGAAATGTGGCCCCAAGTGTCCCGGGTCTGGTAGAGGAAGTAATATGGCAGCAGGGTTCATAAGGCAGTGAAAGGGGATGGGGGTCACAGCAGTTCATAGAACAGATCCTGGGCAGACTTCCTTGGAAAAGACAGTGGGCCCTATGCATCGCTGCTGTAAACTCCAATAATACCAGGGACAAATTTGTCCCAGTGACTGCGTTTCTCACTTTTAAACTAAAGCATTTCACAGCTTCTTGGAAAAAGCCAGGTCCTCTTTAGGAAATATGATTCTCCACTGCCCTGCACCTTGTGTATTCATCTACATCTGAGTGCAAAATGCTGTCAAATCAGATTCTCTGCCGTCAGCATCTTTGTACACCCACTTTGCACAGGTGCAAATAACTACATAAGGTGTGAGGCAGAGGAGGATCAAGCCCCCATGTTTCCCGAGTGCATCTTTGAGCAGGGTGGATAAAAATCAATGATTTTTTAAAAAACAGATTTTTTAAATTTAAATTGGATTATTTTGATAAAATGCTTTTTGAGGAAAAAACCTATCTAAAGATAGTTTTAATTAAGATACATTATAGCTCAAAGATCTCATCATGGAATAGGGATTATAAATTCTAATTCTATAGTATGAGACAATATATTCATGAAAAGTTTTGTAAATGAGTTCCAATAGTTCATGGATTGGGGATCCAATCTTATGGGGTTCCAGGGGTTTCTGTATAGATTATTTAGGTTAATCTTTCTGTCTACCCAATGGGACTCAGTGCTCAGTCTAGAAGATACCATCAGAGATGCTTAGTGTTGCAGTTCTCAAACTGTGGATTTGTGTCTCCAGAGATAACATGCTTGTTAACAGCAAAAATGTTTTTAACTAAATAAATAAACAAATAAATAATAGGTAGAGGTGAGAAATAACAGACCTCAACCCTATTGTCCCTCTGCAAATTTGCCTACACAGAGTCAATCCCTCACCTCTCTCTAAAAGTGCAAAGTTTCAAAAATGAATAGAAGATAGTTGGGGGGCAGAATAGATCTGGACAAGGAGTAGTAGTCTAGAGATAAATGTGAGAAGGGAGGAACAGGCAGTAGAAACAAAAGTGAAACTGCTTGAGCAGCATATTCCAGAAGTCTTGAGGTCTTTCTGAGTGTAGCCTTCATTGATTTGAGATCAACCATACTATTCTCTCACTAGAAGGGAAAACCTATAATGGCAGCAGGCCATAAAAGAGACCCAGTTTGGGAATAAGAACCATTCAAGAATTATATCTTTGATGATGATGTTTTAAAGCAAATCACACCAGTGAAGTGGTGGAAGTCACTTAAGCACTTGGATTCAGAGACTGTTGAAGTGAAAGTGAGAAAAATCTCACTTTTAACAGCAGTAGCTTCTTCTGCCAGTGTAGAAAGAATATTTTCTTCCTTTGGCCTAATTCATTCCAAAATGAGAAATCGTTTGGGACCTGAACAAGCAGGAACGCTTGTTTTTCTTTTCCAGATTATGAACAAACAGGAAAAGGAAGGTGAAGACAACTGAGTTAGCTGCAGAAGCCAATATTTTAAGTTTCTCATGTTCACCTGGCTGACATTAGTCAATTTAATTTTTGTGGTTTTTTTTTAATATTTCATTTATCTATTTTAGTTAAAAACAATTTTAACACAAACAGACCTGATTTTAAAAAGCTTGAATGTTTAACTAAATTCAAAAATTCATATGCTTGTTTTGTTAAAATATTATGTGTTTGCTCTTGAAGAAAAAAATCCAGAATACATAACATTGTTGTCTTAGTTAAATAAAACAATTTACATGTCTGTCTGGTGATGTTCTCCTCCTAATACAGCATGGCAAGAAAATCCTCCAAATATTAATGATTAACCCGTTGAATTGGAGATAGTTCACCTCCTAGTGACTTCATAAATATCTGCTTCAATTACCTTTGGTAAATGAAATAACCAACCAATCATTCATTTTCTGATATATAGCTGTAAAACTAATCTGAAAAGTTTTCAAAATAAATCACTTAAAAATGTATAGTGTATACTTTCTAAAAATGAAACCTACATCTATCTCTGAGTTGTGAAGAATATGTATTAAGGTTATAACAACCAACAAGAATGCACTTTTATGTAGAAATCCATGATTAAATCGAGTCTTCCTGACTAGTGATGTAAATCATGATTTAAATCAAATTGATTTAAATCAAATGCACCCTTGGACATGGAGACCGATCTATTCTCTCTCTCACTCACACACACACACACACCCCTCCCCCCCACCCCCCAACGGTGCTCCCTGCAGAGTCAGCTTAGAGCATGTTGGTGATGTTGGGAAGCTTGCACAAGCACTCCCTGCTGCACCTGTTCTATGGAGGATGGAGCCCAAGATGGACCATTTATATCCAGATCCAAGCGTTGCCAGGGTTCTGGCTTATTTGGATCTGGGGTTTTTGTTTGATCTTTTACAGCGGAAGGAGGACTGGCTACACTCTGCCGGAGGTCATGGGTGTTCAGATGTGATGTTATGGTTTGGGCCCCTCTCTAAGTGAATGTCTCATGAAAAACAGTAACTCAGGGGGTGCATAATGACATTAGAAGTGAATTTCAGCTCCTAAAGTCGTGTGCTGTTCTGCACAAGAGTCTCAGCTGATGAAAATCGGTGTAGCTCTATTAACTGCTATGGAACTAGGCTGACCCGTGTTCAGGTTTAAAGATGAAATCCTACATACAATTTATATAATGGAGTCAGCTTCTGGGTACGCCTCCTAAAATCAGCCGTATACTAGGGAATTTGATACTGAAACTTAATTAAGAATCTAATTTTTTTTATAACCACTTCAACCTAACTAGCAATCCTGCTATTTCTACAATACCAACCCACGCTTTTTGTATAAGCTTTTTATATCCTAGAACTTTACTTCTGTTCAGATCACATTCTTCATGTTTTAAGTCTTTTTACTATGATGATACGTTATCTTCCTTAATTTTGTAAGTGAATGATCAGGGATCTGTGCATTAAACTTAATAATAAAACATTTGGAGAAAATGTGTTGGTTTCATTGGCTTCAGAACTCATTAAAAAAAAACTTTCAAACTTAAGGTTGAGTATTGTCATCTTGATGGATAAAGATTCTGTCTACATTGCAAGTTACTGGGGGGAAAGCCAGGGTCTGAATCTACAGCGCACCAGGTTGCTGCACGTTAAAGTCCTGCAACTTTCCCTGCGCCGTAGCAGAATTCACCTGGGACGTTACTGAGCGGCAAGGTGGTACGCTGTAAACTCTCACCTGGCTTGCCCTGCAGTAACTTGCCAAGTAGACAAGCCCCTAGGAGAGGGCAGCAGGTAAGTGGGGAAAAAGCAGTGGGAAACAGCAGCAAGGGGTAGGACTGTGCAGAACTTTGTTGCTTGTTAGAGGATCCCTGGTCTGGAACCCCCTGTAGAGGGTGGGCCTGGGTTCCCCTGCCAGGCACTGAGAAATGACATAGGGTGTTGCAGTGGTGAGTCAGGCCTATTAACTACCCAGGCTGCACCTGAAGAAGCAGACAAGGAGCAGGCCACTGATTGGAACTGGGCTCAGCTGGTCAGGAACAGGAGGGGTCTGTATAAAGCCCAGGAGCTGTGAGCAGCAAGAGGCTGCAAGGAAGTAGGCTACAGTCACTCCTTGGCCAAAGGGAGGTGTGTTGGGACCATGTGACAAGTGGTGGGGGAAGCGGTCACGCAATTGCCCCTGATACGGGGGCGGTTAAGAGATTGTGGTGCACTGTGAAGAACTGCATAAGACGGTCACCTCTGATACAAGGGAGTGTGGAGAGCCATAGCGCAAAAAAAATAAAATAAAAATAAAAATAAAAAAAGGGGGGGGGGAAGAGACAATGGAGCTGCAGAATGTGGAAGCCTTTTTTGCTGAGGGCACTTATAACCTCCCAGGCTGGACTCCAGAGTTACCGTCCCTGCAGAAAGGGACTGGCAAAGGGCAGGGATGGATCCAGACCCTGCTGAGGCAAGTGCTGGAGAACCAACAGAGACAGTGGGAGGCACATTGGTACCTGCAAAACTCGTTGATTTGGCTAGCTGAACAGCAGCTGTATTTATTAGTTTCTTTCTGCAGGAGCTTACATAGAGACTACAGGGAGCGAGATAGGAAGGGAGGGACCAGGACCAGGAGGCTGTAGGCCTGGCCAAAGCAGTGTTATGCCTGCGGAAATAGGGAATACCTAAAAAGAGAGTACCCCTACCAGGACAGGGACAAGATGCCTCACCCAGAAGGCAGGAAAACCAGAAAGCCAAAAAAGTCCAAAATGGGAGGAGAACAGGAAGGGGAGGGGCCTGTTTTGCCTGTGGTCAGAAGGGGATGCCCATTTATGAGTTGTGAGGGCAAGGCTAGCCCAAGAGAAAGCCGAATGGCCTACTCCCAAGACAAGGCAAAGGGTTTGTTTTAGGTGCCATGAGGTCAGCCATATAAAGAGGCACTGGCCTCTTAAGAAAGGGCGGTGTAGCAAAGGGAAAGGCAGGGACCCCGGTGAAATAGGAAAGAAGGAGGTGGTGTCTGGAGACCAGCATATGCCAGAGACTGTCAGGATAGACATGGCAGCAATGGACCTTGCAGGTGGTTATCCCACACACCCAGCAGGGGGTAGTAAGGAGGTAACAGATAAGATGATTGGGAGGGAGAGGGCCCAGATAGACGTAGGAACTAATACGGAAGTGGAGCAAGCTATGGTGAGAACTCAGATCTTGAGTGAAAGGGTGGGGGTGGGGGATCTTGTGGGGCAAGTGAAGGCGCTCCAGGGTTCGCTAATAGCAGCAGAGCCAGACCTGCAAATAGCTGAAAGAGACCTGGAGTTTCAAAAGGAAAAGTTGAGGGATGTCATGGAGGACCAGCGTAATTTGTGACCCCTGGTGGAGGAAACAGAACAAGAGAGGGATGACCTGCGGGCATAGCTCAGGCAGATGCAGGGCAGGAGGCACCCCAGAGAGGGAGGGTATGTGATGAAGTGTCCACCCCACACAGGACTGGAAGTGTTACAGTGGTGAGACAGGCCAATTAACTGCTCAGGCTGCACCTGAAGAAGAAGACAAGGAGCAGGCCACTGATTGGAAATGCACTTAGCTGGGTAGGAACAGGAGGGGCCTGTAGAAAGCCAGGAGCTGTGAGCAGCAAGAGGCTGTAAGGAAGTGAACTACAGTTTCTCTGGGAGGAGGGAGTTTGGGTTGGCAAACCCAGAAAGAGAGGGCAGCAGGTAAGTGGGGAAAAAGCCCAGGGGAACAGCAGCAAGGGGTAGGACTGTGCAGACCGTGTTGCTTGTTAGAGGATCCCTGGGCTGGAACCCAGTGTAGAGGGTGGGCCTGGGTTCCCCTACCAGGCACTGGGAAATGACATGGGGTGTTGCAGATACCAGCTGGTCTGGAAGGACTTTGATTTCCCTGGAAGGGGAGGGCCTTAGTGACTTGGCTGCAGGACCAAGCCATGAACAGGAAGCTGCAGGAGTGAAAGGGGCCTCAGGGTGAAAAAAACAACACACAGACACCCCCCAGAGGAGCGCAATGCCTGGCAAGAGCTAATCCCCAGAGCTGCCAGCAGGCGACACCCCATACGGTAAGTGGACCCCATAACACTCTGAGTGATGGAGAATTGAATATCCCTTGGTAATCTGTTCCAATAGCTAATTATCCTCACTGCTTAAAAAATGTGCATCTTAATTCCAGTTTGAACTTTGCTTACTTCAGCTCCCGACCACTGGATTTTGTTATGATGGATTAAAGAGCCACTCATTACGGATGGGGATCTTCCTGGAGCGGCTGGTGTTACTAACATCTCAAAGTGCTTGGGAGATTTGTAAAACTTAGTTCAATTTATTTTTCCTGTAGTTTACAATGCTCTTTTCCACCCACAAGGCTGTGATGTTTAAAAGCATATTTCTAGTTGAGGGTACCTTGCCCTATGTACTAGGGATATAGATAAGTACTCTCCACCATTCAGCTGGCCCAAGCTGTGTATAATGGTCATATGCCGTTACCTTTTTTTCTTTAATTGAAATTTTTCTCACCCATCTCCCGTCTTTTTTCTGCTGTCTCCATGAAAGGAACACAAACCCAACTGTGTTTGAATCAAACATTCAAATCCACGATGCTCCAGTGGGTTAAAAATTAGATACACCAGGTTGACCTATGCCAGGTTGTAATGGAGGAGGGGAAAATAGTAACCTCATAATTCCATATTATTTATTAATTAATTGTGTTGTGGTAGTGGCCAGAGGTCCTGGTCACGATCAAGGCTCCTTGTGTTTGGTGCTGTACGAACACACAATCCTTGCTCCAAGGATTTTACAATGAAAAGTGCTTGATCCCAAGCTCCTTCAAGCCAACAGTGAGTTTGGACCTCCAGGGGTTTCCTAGAGAGGTCTCCCATGATGAGCTGTAGGCAGAACCACTGAGACTTGGCCTTGTGGTGCCAGAAGGGCCGGCAGCAGGTGGAGGCCAATCAGGGCCTAGCAGCCCAGATAAAAAAGGGCTGGGTGCTTCCACTA